CACGCACACACACTCACTCACACTCACACACACGCACGCACACACACACACACACACACACACACACTGAAAGTTACTCTGCTCACATACTAGTTGATTTGTCTAGTAAGCGAGTGTGTGATTGTTTACTATGTTCATGCGAGTCTTTCCACTATTATTCTGATCACAAAACTCATTATACAGACAGAGAGAGAAAGAGAGAGAGACAGAGAGACCAAAGGAGGAGCAGATGATGTGGAAAATGTTCTTCATCATCACCTTTTGCTCTTGTTTTTCATCATGTTATTTCTGCCGGCCCCGTCTCGTACCTTCATATCCTCTGCGGTTTCATCTGTATCTCTCGCGGGATGTAATTACTTGTTATTCTCTCTCGTTCTGCCTTTCTCTGGCCGCTGATAAAGCGCAGTATCGGCACGCTCTGTCGCTCTCTGTGCGTCTGCGGCGCTCGATCTGAACGTCCTTCAGCCTGCAGCAGATACGGTTATGTGAAGCAGTGCGTGTGCGTTTATTTCTGCATTTCGATTCCTTCATCACCTCTCAGCTGTAATATGATTACTGTGATGACTTATTGCTCTATCAACTGTGTGCATTGCTAATTATACATTTAATTGTTTAATTATTGCATAAATCCTGTCCTGTAGTAAATGCATTTGAGACTGTACTGCATCTGCACAACGAAAACAAAATGTTCTTATTTAGTATTTTTGTGTGGTTATCTAAACTATTTAAGCATCCTTGAAATTCACAAAATTTTTGCTTGTTTTCAGGCAAAGTCTTATTCATTTTTAATTATATATATAATGTTACATGTAACATATTAATGAATGTTTTGGTGTATCTTATACATTTTTTTAATTACAATGTTTTAACATTTACACTGCAAAAATTGATTTTCTTGTTCAGTATTTCTGTCTTGTTTTACAGTACAAATATTTAAACATTCTTAAATCAAGATACATTTACTTGAGATGCAGAAGATGCAGTTGCAGTGCACATTTATTCATTAAGTGTATACTTTCATCAGAATAAGTTCATCCTGTTAACAGACAAGCATGCTCAAAACACACGAGTTATCTTGTTTTTAAGGATGGTTTGTCTGGAAAACAAGACAGAAGTGCAGATAAGAGGAGTATTTGTTGCGTTGCAGGGCTGATGTTCAGCTTGTGGAGGCATGCAGCTCTTTGCACAGACGTGTGGATGATTTAATCAAACGAGTGCAGCAGCAGATAGTTCAGTGTGGGTTATTGATGTTGGCTGTGTTTGGTCAAGCTCTTGTTGCCTGATTATTCAGCAGATGGTTTCTGATCCGCAGTGGCATTTTCTGGCATTAATGTGGCTGATTTCTGTATCTGTTCATGAATCAGGCCGTCTGGGATTCCAACCCACAACCTTCTGACGTCTGGATGGATTTGTGTGTGTGTGTGTTAGTGTGTGAGTGTGTGAGCGAGTGAGCGAGTGTGTGTGTGTGTGTGTGTGTGTGTGTGAGTGTGCGCACGCACGTGAGTGTGTGTGTGTGTGTGTGTGTGTGTGTGTGCGCATCGGGGCGGAACTCCGGTATGTGTGAGTGTGTGTGTGGTATGTGTGTGTGTGAGTGTGTGTGTGAGTGTGTGTGTGATATGTGTGAGTGTGTGTGTGGTATGTGTGTGTGTGTGAGTGTGGTGAGTGAGTGTGTGTGTGTGAGAGTGTGTGTGAGTGTGTGTGTGATATGTGTGAGTGTGTGTGTGGTATGTGTGTGTGTGTGAGTGTGTGTGTGGTATGTGTGTGTGTGAGTGTGAGTGTGATGTAAACTACACATCTGGTCTGACTGACAACAAATCTCTAAGCAGTTTCACAAAACCAGTGATTTTTTTTTGTCTTTCTATTTCTTAATCACACACCTGTTCATTTATAGATGAATTCTATAAATGATTCTTGCTGTGAACACCATCATCATTTCTGATTTCTTCAACTCAACCGCTTATTTTATTTGCATTAAATTCTAAATCAACAGCAAATAATTTTGTGCTCAATTTAGCAGATGAGAAAAGCAGTGGTTCTTCATGACTCAACACTATTTAAATCAGACAAATAAAGCGCAGTGCAAATTCAACAGATGCAACTCATTCTTCATTTCAGGTTAACTTAGCTTGTTAAATTTTTATGTTAGTTAAACTGCTCTTTGTTCCTAAAATAATTAGATTTTTTTTAATGTGCACCAGCAAGAGCAGAAAACACTGATTAGTAATGCATAAATGATAAATGCCTGCTATAAATCTGATGTTTTTCTCAAATGCATGACGCTTTTATATATAATGCATTATATTTCTTAAAGGTGACATATCATGAAAATCTGACTTGTCCAGGTTGTAAGTGCTATAATCAGGTCCCCGGTGCATCTACCAACCAAGGAAACGTGAAAAAGATTAACTCAGTAACTTTGTTTTGGGAAGCCTTTTTCTGCAAGCGTCTGAGAAAACCAGCGCGTCTGATTTCGCTCCCTTGGTGACGTGGCAAA